ACCGGCATCCGGCGCGTCCGCACCAAAACCACCGAACCAACACCCGCGGAGTCTCACCGCGAAGGGGGGAATACCGATCCGTCGATTTACCGCGCCAGGCCCTTTAAAACGGCCCGGACGCCCGCCGCCGCACGTCGAAGCTGCGACGCTGTCAAGCACCGCGTGGCTCTTTAAACCACCGCGTGGCCGGCCCCGTCCCGCCCCGCGCCGCGCACCGTTACCCTCGCTCGCGGGCCGCGAAGCCGCGTAAACACGCGCTGTAAATACCGCCCGTCTCCGCGCGCGTAAGGACGCATCTGTACATACCGATCATCTTCTAAAACTCCATTGTAAAATACCGATCATCATTCTAAAGCTCCATTGTAAAATACCGATCATCTTCGCACGCGTAAACCCGCGTTATAAAGGGCTGCTCGCCGAAGTGTAAATACTCATTTATCTGTGCCTAAATAAATCCGTTGTTTCGTCAAACTATCGTAATTATTGTCGTGCCCTGACTCTGCCGCGAACTCCTGCCCAGCGAGCTAAGTCCGGTTCGCAAATTAACACCAACGGAGGGTCGTTTCAAATTTATTCCGATTCAAGGAATTGATAATTCTAAAATAAAGTAAGCTTTAGTATTAATTAACAACAATTCATTTCAACGAAATCCTCTATTTCATCTGATCGCTGCCTAACTGCGTGGTGAATAGATTTCCTAAGTCAATTTGATCGCTGCCTATAGAGTGGCGGACAAAGCATCAATCTCCTAACTTTATCCTTATGACAAGAAAGAAAGGCGGAAAACGCGTACAACTCAAGAGAATTAAAGGGGGAACCTACTTTAGAAGGCCGAAAATAACGTGTCTTTTAAGAATTTTTTTTCTAAAGGAACAATAATGTTTAGGTTTGTAACACGTTTAGGATGTTTTAATACAACATTTGAACTACAGATACAAATTTCTTCAATAAAAAAAGTTACATTTTCACTAACAATGAGTTTGAAATTTGATTTTTATTTGAACTTGAATTGTGAATTGAACTTCCTAAGTAGTTTGAGTTAGAATTGGAATTGGAATTTGAGTTTGTAATTGAATCACCTGACTGATTCGAATTTGCTTTTGAATTAGAATTCTCGTTCGAGGCTGAGTTTGTATTTGACTTTGGATTTGAGTTTGAGTTTCTGCTAG